GAGCATATTCCTAATCAAAGACATCAATCATTTGATCTAATCCTTTGAACTAGATAACTAAAGATAAGATTAGGATGGGTGTGTTGATTATGATGTCTAATAATTGCCTCACAAGAGGTATACAAATATTTATATTGTAAATACCAAGACTTTAATTTTATCTTTGGAATATACAAATATTCCTATGATGAGTTTTTCCAGTTTTTAGTGGTTTGGATTGGTTTGGTTTTATTGGATTGAATAATGCTACTTGAAGTTGAAGATTATAGCCAATTTCATTATTTAGAGATAAAACAAAGAAAAACACTTCTAGAAAATAACTATGGAAACCACTACTTTTAATTATATTGATTTTCTAAAATTAATATCAATAGAATTCAGAAGAACATTTGACCTACAACTTTTTGTGAACTGTTTTTCTATTTTTTGCATATACTTTGCTTATGTTTTGCTTATATTTTGCTTATATTTTGTTTAAATTTATTAATTTATTTCTCATTTCTTTTATATTCAGTTTTTTTTTTTTTTGTATATGATGATAATTATGTATTGATAGAGTTATGAACTTGTAGTAAACAAATTATCATTTAATGCATGAAAATTTACAATTTAGCGTTTTCGAAAGTATATGATATATAGTTATATTGATTTTCTAAAATTAATATCAATAGAATTTAGAATTGAAAATGTTTAGAAAGACAAAAACTTTTAAAATTATTTTGATTTCCGTTATTTTAAAACCGGTATTACATATTACATTATAATATTCTATAGTGTTTTGGTTAATTAATAATTTTTTTTCATCTACAACTCATACATATACAATATCATATATGAATCCATATTATGATGTAAATGCAACCACCCATCCCAGCCATCTTTCGGATTCCAACTGTCATGGTTCCTTAGTTGATCGCAATATCCGTAACTCCCACACTCATTGTACTCATCGCATTACACCTCTGGCGCTAATAAGAACATATCCCAATCCTGATCCACTTGGTTCCACTTGAACTGCTGCAACAGACCTTTGTAGCTCACAGTCAATTTTGAAGTGATGTCGCTCTTCTGTTGGAGTGTCTAGCTGTCTTTAAAGTTTTCAGTTGCATTTCTGGTACACTGATTTCATTCCACAGAGAGGCACGATAGACGGGTGTGTCTCTGTAACAGAGTAGAAGCTCAGGGAGACTTCTTGATTCTTCCAGACGAAGAGAGTAAAGGTTGATTGAGGAATCATATAAGCGTCTCCATGATATGAAAGATCGGTTTACCCCTAATTTCATTCCCGGTAGTAAGGTATCCATCAGAAAGTCGAAACTTTCCAAAACGATTTTCCTCTGGATGTCTTTCAACACAAAATTATCGTCGGCCGTTAGCAGTTCGGCCACCACAGCCGTTCCTTTGTTAATTGTGGTAGACCGGACTTCTTTACCACCCTACTCCTACTCTAGAAAGAGCCCGTTTGCGGAAAGTCACTGTTTGCGACTCAAAGAAAACTTGTTTGTTGAGTTGTTTGTAATGCAGAAGGTGGTTGAAAACAGAGCCACAACCAAGAAGAAGAAAAAGGTAAAACAGAAATTCACTATTTTTTTCTTCTTTCTCTTCTCTTAGTTGAGTGAAATGTGGAATCATGTTTTTGGAGAGAAAAATATAGAATCTTGTTTTTGGTAGAAAAACTACGGAATTATTTTTTGGCGGGAAAATGTGGAATCACGTTTTTGGCAGAAAAATTACGGAATTATGTTTTTGGCGGAAAAAATGTGAATTTATGTTTTTGGCGGAAAAATTACGGAATTATGTAATCGGCGGTAAAATGTGAAATTGTTTTTTGGCGGAAAAATTTCGAATCGCGTTTTTGGCAAAAATTACGGAATTATGTTTTTGGCGGAAAAATGTGAATTTATGTTTTTGGCTGGAAAATGTGGAATCGCGTTTTGGCGGGAAAATTAATTTATTGGTTTTAATAGTTAAATCATGTTTACTTTGGTTTACTAAAATCAGTTTAGACATGTGATTCGGTTATCTTTGGTTTACACATTTAATTTAGATTGTTTACTCTCTATTGGTTTGGTTATGAATAACCCACTAATCCATTCTAAT